ACCCCGCACAACATGATCTACTCGACCACCATTATGGTTACCGCCAAAAAAAAAAAAAACGGAGGTAAAAAAAAAAACGGTAACCTGGTTGCCGAGTTCACGAAGTGAATTGGCTTGTTTTACAACGTCTTTGCCAAGCGACGAAAACCCAACCCCGATGGCAAACACCGGGGGGGGCAAACACCGGGGGGGGCGGCTTGTTTTACAACGTCGTTGCCAAGCGACGAAAACCCAACCCCGATGGCAAACACCGAGGGGGGACAGCACAAAACCTTGTCGTAGGCCTTGTGTGACCAAGATCCAGGCCGAAAACTCTCCGTCGTCGATGCGCGCCCGGGCCCGCATTCCGTCGTGGAATTGGCGGATGACGGCGATCATCTCCTCAGGAATCCTGGCCCTGGCCAGGACCTTCCACAGCATCTTTCGGTCCACCGAATCACACGCCTTCTTCAGGTCGACGAAGCACATGTAGAGTGGTATTTTCCTTGTCCGCCTCAACTCCTGGAGTCGGCGCACGACGAACAGCATGTCAATGGTAGATTGCCCAGGTCGAAAACCGCATTGTTCCTCCGGGAGGATGTTTTGGGTTTCGCAGAAGGCGCTTAGCCGGTTGGTGACGATCTTGATGGGGACCTTGCCTGCGTGAGATCGTAGCGAGATCCCCCTGAAGTTGTTGCAGTTGGACCGGTCACCCTTCTTGTACAACACCTTGATGGTTGTGTCCTTCCCCTCTTTGGGGGATCTATCCTCCGTTCCACACCTCAAGGAGGATGCCACGGAGGTGCTCCAGGACGATGCATTTCTCGTCGTCGACGTCGATATTGAGCAAGTCTGCAGGGAGGGAGTCATTGCCGGGTGCCTTCCAGTTCTGCAGTCCTTTCGTTGCCCGTTCCACCTCCTCGAGGTCTGGCACCGCTCCCAAGCGTCGAGTGGCACGTGTCGCCGGTCGCTGCGTCACTTGTTCGATAATGTCTGGGTTCAGGGTGGGGGACTTGGTGTTGAGGAGGGTGCCGAAGAATCTCGCCCATCGCTGGAGGATGTCGTTCTTTCTCCGGAGCAGCCCGCCATTCTCGTCCGCAACGGGCTGCTGTCCTCCCGCTTGTCTCCCACTGAGCCCCACTGATCTCATGAGGTGTTGGTAGAGGCCTCGCATATCGCGGTCCTTGTAGATCGCTTCGAGTCCCGTCACATATCTGTCCAGGTGGGCATATATGCCCGTTTCGACTGCTGCTGCCACTCCCTTACACGCTGCTTTGAGGGCCCTCCACGATGTTGTGTTCAACTTGTCCTTCATCGCTCGGCGCGCTTCCCGCCGTTTGGTGGGGGCCTCCTCCAATGCGGCTCTTGTCTCAGGGGTCTCACACCATTCCTGCGTGCGTCGTCTCCGCGGTTCCTCGGGTAGTATCGCCCTCGCCGCTTCGAGGAGGGCATTGGCCAACTCGGTCGCCTTCTCCGGGATGGTGGTCGCTCGTTCGCCCGGCTGTTAGTCGAGGTTGAGGAACCGCGTAGTCACGTCCCATCGCTTTGCTTCGACCTGCAGTTCCCGTCGGTCGAACTGCTTCTGTTTCGGTTCTGCTCGGTTGTGGGCAAGCCTGCCACCGAGGTTGACGGTGGCTATCACCATGTTGTGGTCTGAGTCCGCCTTGACTGGGTATACGGGCTGGGGGATGACAACCATGTTAGACACTCGGCCGCGGTGTGCCTGCCGCGTTAGAATGTAGTCGAGGCGCCAGCGGTCGGTCCCTGACGCACCGTTGTAGGTGTGCCATATTCCACCCTTGCTTGTCTCGAAGAACGTGGTCGCGAGTGCGAGCTTGTTTTCCGCTGCGAAGGTCAGCAGTAGTCTGCCCTTCTCGTTTAGCTCATCACGCCCGTGTATCCCCATGACGCCCTCATGCTCCGCATCCATCCTCTCTCCCGTCCGAGCATTGGCGTCCATGAGGATATGCACGCTCTCTCTGGAGGGAATCTTCTGCACGAGACTGTCAAGTTTTCCCCAGAGCTCTGTCTTGCTGTCAGCAGCAGCGACCTCGGTCGGGGCGTACGCAGCAACGAAGTTGACAGCTCCACGGCGGTCCGTCATCTCAAACCTCATGGCCATGAGGCGGTCATCGACATAGTTCGTGGTGAATGTTGAAGTCTTGCACAGTGTCTCGTTAACGGCGATTCCCACACGATGGATATTACGCTTCTCCGTACCACAGCAGAACACTCGGAAACCCGCTGCTGCGAACTCCGTTTGACCTGGCCTCCTGGTCTCCTACAGCCCTACCACCGATACATCTTGCTGCGCTGCCTTGTGTAGGATGCTGAAGGCTCGCCCGTACCCATTCTTCCCGTTTACAGCCAGCGTCCGCACATTCCAGGTTGCTACCCTCAGAAGTCGACCCTGCTGTCTCTCTCGGGCGGTGCGTGCTGCTCTCTTAGCCAGCCTACGCTTCGCCCGTCCCCTCCTTTTCCTCCTTCGTGCCCTCTTTTTTTGTCGGTGTTAATTTTTTTTGCGGGCTCTCGGGCTAACGTACAAGTTACCTCCGTGCTTGCCTTTTGTCCCAGCGAGTTGTCTTATCCCGGAGCAGTGCGGCCCTCCAGCGCTGGACCCTCTCCTTTCCCCTCTCTGGTGCATACCCCCACGGTGGTCACCGTGTTCTCTGCTGCTGCATGTCCCCGGTGTCCAAGCCGAGGCGTCTGGATTCAGTCTCATTTGCAGCTACTCAAGTCGGCTAGGTAGCGAGCTACCTCGATCTTACGACAGCGGCAGTTTCCGGCCGCCAAACTCGGGATCCCCTTCTGATCAGTGCTAGGGACTGTGTATCCGTCTTTGTTGGGTATTTCGAGGTCTAAGTCCACTTACGGACCTCGGCCCACCAGCAGGGAGGGGGGCAGGCCGGGGGAAGAGCATTCGTGCGAGTGTGTAAATACCAACCCGGAGGAAACAAACCTTACAGCTACCATGCAACATAGCAGCAATAAGTACCTGTTCGCCTGCCGCGCTGCTGGCCGCTCATTCATTCCACCGACACCGGCCCGCGTGTCGAGTACAACACTTGAATACTGTCGGCAATGGTCATGATTACGCCATGCTTCGCTCCGTTGCCTTGTGTCTAGAACCGATTCCGTGTCAGGCGGTGTAGACACTTAAGCAGTACAAGAGGGATTTAAGTACATGAAAAATGCTTGCTGTTCGCTCTGGGACATTTCTCCCTGCCACACGCCATTTCAGACGCATATTTTGGTCTCCCTGTCCCGGCTGACCTACAGCAGTGCCGCCTAGAGGTAACAACCGACCCCCCTCCCCATTTTAACTTCGTCACAACATTCACGTTCTGCTGCAACCTGGCTGGTCCCTCGCGTTCTTCACCGATACCTCCCCTCCCTGCTTCCCCTCCGTGTTTGCCATGTAGATCCAGCGAAAGGAATCCGCGTACGAAGCTGGGGCACCGAACGCGCCGGCTCCCGGCACTCGCGACCTCCCGTGGGCGGAGAAAACGGGCAACTTGTTTCAGCTCGGCGCTGTATTGGGGTGTGCGGCAGTGCGCTACGGCTGGGATAGGGGTGCCAGGAGAGTCGAGCTCCTGGCGATTCGCGACAACGACAAGCAGCACAGCAGGTGGGACATTGGGGCACTGCTGCAGTCGAGCTTTTGCCAAGCCTGTGTTTTGGTTGGAGCCTGGGAATGTACGCGGTAGTAGCTTCTCTGCGGTGTTGACGTAGAAGTGACTTGGCGGTTTGGATCACATTCCGCGTTCGCTTGGTGTAATGTGTAAGTTGTCTGTTTTGTCTTTTGATGGAGTTTGAGTCTTCCGATAAAACCTCCGAGGTCTTTTGACGAATGGACGAAGCTTAGCTCTCATCATCGTCAGTAAATAGATGTGAACAAACCCCGCCGAGATAGCCTGCTCCCTCCGCTGCTCACCGGCCAATATCAACCGCCCGCAACCTACATCAAACCGCAACCCTCTGGGCCCCCGCTGGTGGCATTGGTCCCGTCCAACAGACTGGTACGTTATTACCGGATAGCTGGCTTCAAAGCGGAGCGCAGCGTCGGGGAGGACCTCGGTAGCCTGAGAGACAGATTGACTTGGGGGGCGGAGGGCACTCTTATGGTGGCATCGGCGGATGACTTCATGCGGCGGTGGACGCCCCTCATGCAGGAGACCAACGCCAGCGACGAGGGATAGGAGGCGGCGGCGGCGGCGGTGGCAGCGGCAGCCGAAGTAGAGAAGCTGGAGACTTGGCCCAGCGAGTTGAGAAGATACTAGTGTTAGGTTCAGATACTAGTGTGGGGTTTAGAAGCGGAAATCAGAAACCATTTGACAAATAGTCGGCGCTGACGTTTCTCATGGTTCTACATATTTCGGGAGAGGTTGTAGCACAACAGGAAAGTGGTTTGTGCCTTTAGAAGTAAAGAACACCTTCTGACATTCACATTGTATCGCAGCTTGCCTCGTGCAACCGTGCTGGTCCTCTCCGAGATTTTTTGTTGAGGTGGTATGCGCTGCTGCTGGTGTGAGAAGGAGGTGGATAATCATGATGTGGTAAATGCACGAAGAATGCTGATTATGCTTTTTGGTGTCATCATGGCATATTTACCAATGGTGGTCCCGAAGCTGACCTGCGAAAAATGGTATTTTCTACAAACCAACAAACAACAGAAAACAACACGCATGCCGCAACATAACGCGCAAGACGCCCCTTTCTGTCAGACGAAGCTTTGTCTACCGTTTCTATTGCCACCTATGTATGCCTCTAGCGACCTTACGGTCTCTCAAAACGGCGGCGACAAAATTGACACACACAAACAAAAATGTACAAGAGACGAGATCGGACGCGAACACATACTATGCCGCCAGTGAAATTCCCTGAAGGCGAAGGTTGTCGAAGTCCCTCTATTCGAGCGCGCGAAAAAAAATGAAATAAATGTGTAACCGCCAAACGCGGAGTAAGCACAGCCTCCGCGGCGCAGGTGACAGAACAAAAGTGTGCCCCGACCCTGTCGTTTGCAGGCTAATCCCGGCCTCGAACTAAATGGGTAATCCCGTTGTAGATTTGAATTTGATGGCAGGTATACACCTATATGCACGCGCCAGTTGTTCGAGGTCGAAGTTATTGTGTAATGGATGCATACTTATGAATGAGTGTGTTCCGACGAGGAAAGAGAGAGTCATCAATCATCAACTTGTGTGCGTGCGACATGCAGTGGAATAAACTCCGAGTAAGATTGCAGCGGTGTGACCCGAACCTCTCGTTGGCAGGCAAAATTGGTCTACACACAGTTATTCCAGCGTCGAGGGACTCGTCAATCCAGCTGTAGGTTGGGCGGGGCTTCAATTTGGTGGAGGATGGGTAACGTGTGACTCCAATTCATCGAGATCGGAGCAATTCGGTGCGGAAAGAACCTACTGCATGCTCGTGTTTCGTGCTTGAGGCGGCCGGTAAGCGACCCATAAAACCCTTCACCCAGGAGGTTCCAATCAAGCTCAAACTTGGTGAGGGCGTCGAAAGTGGTTCAGGACGCCCGGTGGTCTGATCCCTTGCGCCTCTGGCATTCGGTTAAAAAAATGCGTGGTTCGGAGCTTCGGACTGAAGGTTCTGTGAGACCTCTAGAGACCGTAACGGTCTCCTACAGGAAAAGCATTGATTTTGGGATGTGTGCTTCTTTTGGAGATGCGGGCGATGCACGGCAGATTTTCCCGACGTTGGCTTCCGCGCAACTCCCCTGTCTCAAATGACCCCAACATTCCTTGCCCACGTGGTACATACCCACGACATGGGTAGGGCCCGCCCTTGTAGCCGTACTTGTCGAGCCGGCCATATCCGGGGCAGGGAAGAGGGGGAACGGACCATCCCCTTCGCTTGGTCGCACCGCAACAGAAGTAGGAGTTTTCCGTAGAGTAGGCTCCGCAGACTGGGTTCAGCCCAGTCTTAACGCGTGCCGTGGACGCGCTCCTGTTTGACGGGCAAACAGGAGGGGAAAAAACTACAACGGTCTAAATTCTAAGCTCCCGCCACCACCCCAGCAAGAGAACAAACGGTGGGCAATACCGCCGCATACTAAATATTAATTTAGGAGCGGGAACCGTCCAGAAGCAACTTTTGTGAGATCCATACAGGCTGCATTCTCAAACGGCCCCCCCCAAACAAATCACGTCGAGGTGGCGCAATAATCAAGCCAAGACCGCGCGCAACCGCTCGACGGCCTCTACGCACGACTCCCGGGGCGCAAACGCCGACAAACGCAGGAAACCTTCTCCTCCGGGGCCGAAGCCCGCTCCTGGGATGGTCACCACCTGTGGCGGGCAGGAAGGAGGGGGAACAGAGAGACGCGGGCGAGGAGGGAGAGGGTGAGACCGACACAGATGACAGCCAAAATTCTTCTCGCTTGATGGGAGGTCTGTCTCGCGAGACGGCGGTGACCTGGCCCAATGAACAGGGCAGGGTGTACTGCAGCGAACACGAACCGACATGCTTGGCTAGCAAACCTGTTGTGCTGAACCTTATCCGTCACAACGTGGTGGGGTCCAGTTCTACCCAGGGGCGGTGGGTTGCTGACATCTCTTGCGGCGACTCTACCCCTCGTGTCTTGCCATAAATTGTCGAACCCTACAACGAGGCCTCCCTAGACATATTCTATCACCCAGTCAACCGCCACTAGAGGTGCTCGAAAAAAAATCCCTCGGAGCATACGTGCAACAGAGGGACGACATGGCACAGGAGCTTGGGAATGTGCATTTTCGTCTGTATCCGACAAGAAATCGCCCTACTTATCGTGAGTGTGGGGGGTGTACTCATAGTCGTGCATGCCGTAGTCGTTAGACCATTGACCTCGCATCCCTACAAAGCCGGGACGGAGCACGCCGGGTTCTCACCGGACCGTGTGGTGGTGGCAAAAGCAACCTTGCAATATTTGCACAATCTTACTCAGGCTGTCGCCGGATTCATGGCTTTCGTTGTAAATCTCAAGTCTTGCGCACCGAGCCCCACTCTGAATAAAAGCGCGGTTCTGTACCCCTATTCCTCTTCTAAAACACAAAGCTCGTACGACGCACCACAGAGACAAGAGTATCGTCACTCAGCAAAGAGAGATATCGACATTCGAATGTTCAGCTCTTAACCATTTTCGTATGCCATCCTCGTGACTCCCTAAAAGTACGTCTTGACCAACCAAGCACCTGGCCCTGTCCCGTTGACATCGCCAGCTGCAGAAAAAAACGGATGGCACTGGGACGAAGAAGCACCGCGTCACACTACCGCAACGAGGTACGGTACTGTAGTCACTCAGCGAAAAGAGATATCGACATTGAAATGTTCAGCTCTTAACCATTTTCGTATGCCATCCTCGTGACTCTCCATTTCTCAACCCACCACACGTCTAACCCTGTCCTACTGACACCACCGACTGCAGAAAAAAACGGACGGTACTCGGACCATGAAGCACCGCGCCACCCTACTGCCAAGAGGTACTGTAGTCACTCAGCGAAAAGAGATATTGACATTGAAATGTTCAGCTCTTAACCATTTTCGTATGCCACCCGAAGTGTGACCACAGGTTGGAGCAATGACACAAGTGCTGTGAGCGCTGATGTGAATGAAGCGAACACAAGAAAAACGAAAAAACATCGTGACTCTATTTTGGAACCCACCACATGTCTGACCCTGTCATATTAATATCAGCACCTCATACACAAATCATTATTACTCGGACCATGACGCACCCCACCACTCTACCGCCAAGAAGTACCAGTCACTCGGCGAAAAGAGATGTCGACATTGAAATATTTTGCTCTCGACAATTTTCGTATGTCAACTCCTCGTGACTCTTGTGTAAGACGCGAAACTACGCTGCCCCTGCTATCGGCAAAGCGCGACGAGCAGGAACTGTACCAACGTGCGGCGCAAGGAGAGACAAGTTTGGGGACCCCAGTGCCCAAGCGCAACGCGAGCGGTGTTGGGCGGTGAACGCGTTCCATGAATTCTGCCGCGGTTTACGTTTTTGACACACGACTCTCTCTCGCTCAGAAGCCCGCTCTAAGTTCTTCCTCTTCGTGACTCCACAACCGAACGAGTATTGTGCCCTCTGTTGTCTACCTTCACTATTTACGGCCAAACCTCACACTTTGTCAAAAACCTGGTTCAGTCGTGCGGCGGTCTTTTCGCACGGCCGAAATAACAATCAAAGTGAAAAGCAAAAATCCTACACGTTACAGAGGTGCGGGTGAGGCACAAACAAGACGGGGGAACCTGTTGATGTACATACCGATACACTCAACACATCGTTGATTTACTATTGAGCTAGTGTGAAAGCGGTTTCGCCCCACTTTCGACTTCGCAAACACCTTTGCGTATATACACAGGGCTGAGCATCGTGTTCAACGCAAGTATCTGGTGTGTGGAGATTTCAATGACGCCGAGCTCATGACTTTCGGCCGGGTTGAGGTGGGTCCTTTCACGAGACCAGAAAAACTCGCAAGTACGATTTCACTCATGAAACACCAAACAGCCTTTGCATCGGCGAAACTTGACGTGCACGCCTAAAGAAGAGACACCCACCCGCCTGCCTGTGGTGCTGCCTCCTGCCCAACTAGCGTTGCATACGCACACAGCAAGCAACGCAGCAGCGAAACCCATTGTTGCCCCAGCACACCAAGAACCCCGCAACCGCGTCGTGCAAAATCATGCTATAGAGCAAGCGCTAGCAGAGTGCAAGACCAATAGCATCACGACAACAATAATAACAACAGCGAACAGGACCGCAAGACACGCAGTACATACCTGTGCCTTCTCGAGGATCTCGCTGAACACGTCCCAGCTGGCCTTCCCTTCCAAGTCCACGTACACGTAAGGGGCGTCCTTCCCACCGTGAGACTTGAAGCCGCACGACTCGATACCCTGTGACACAGAAAACAGGGTGTGAAAATGTTGTCTTTTTTTCCGAGCTTCATTGTTTTTGAGCGTGTGCGGATGGTTCCGGCAACCGACTGACGATGGACGACCTTGGCGATTGGTAGTCAAAACCGGTGACACTATAATAGGTGCTGGATTAGGGAGGACCATCTGCGGCGAGGACTGTTCCCAAGGGGTATCTATGCGATTCGGAAACGCATGCTACCCACACCAGCTAGCCGGCAACGAACTTGTTTGGCTCAGCAGAGTCCAGTGTACAGCAGCCGGCAACTAAAAAAGCTAAGGCGAAGCCGGCGCCCTCATCCCTTCTCCGTGGCCTGGTGCCCGGCGGGCAACCGAGCCATGCTGACATCTTCTGCTGCTGCTGCCGCTCTCGATGGAGCTGTGCTTGTTCTCCGTTCGATATTTATTGTTTTTGCTTTAACGTCAGACTTACATAAACTCCGAGGTACTATTTTGGGTTTTGTATTGTCCAGGAAAACTTGGCTTCGTAAAGAAAGAGCTTGGCGGTCTAGATCTATGTTATGATTTGCAGAAAAAAACGCTAGCTCCTGAACGCAAACATGTCGAGTCACACTGGGTTGCTAACACAACGTCAAAAAATAGTTTACGTATGTTTAGTGGATGTCGAGGATGAGCAAAGCTGGCGTCTAAGCATATGCCGCGACAGCCT